GAGTCAGTATTCCTTGTTTCCATGGGGTTCATGGTCTACCGCGCCGTCTCCTGGACGGAGGTATCCATTTATATACTTGTTTGGGCCACCTTAATTCTGGTATTGTCAGCAGATGTCCGTACTAATGAAGCTGTTTTCGTTCTACAGTATCTATTATATCCCTTTACATTTCCATTTTCTCTTTTATTTCTTCGTTGCGTATTTGGTGTAAACGAGATTTTCTGCTACTTCGTCTCGAAAAGTTCATTTCGTCAATAATCTCTTTGGTTTTGGAGGTTATTTCCCATACTTCCGAGCCATATGTGACAATACTTTCTATTAATGTTCTGTACATATTGTTGTTTGATAACTGGGAGTTCCACAGAATTGGATTTAGCATATTTATGATTCGTTTCCTTTGATTTATCTTATTATTAATATCATTATTACTTGTGCCCTCTTTTGAAACTGTGAAGATCAAACATTTAGAATTATCACATAATTGTATTTTATCATTTTCAATGTACAGGCCATTTTCATATTAGCCTGTTACCATACTCTTCGCTTTGGACACATTTATTTGCAATCCCCATATTTCAAATTCCTGTTTAAATGTTCTAAACATATTGTTAATACCCAGCTCATCCTCAGCCATGATGACTAGATCATCCGCGAAAAGTAGAACATCCAATGTTGATTCTAAAATTTGCATTCCAACCACACTGCATTTCCTCCTCCATTCTCTCAGAGCTTTGGCAATGAACATGTTAAAAAGCATTGGGGGACATACAGTACCCCTGTCTTAATCCTTTAGAAATTATTATACCATCTGATACTTGTCTGTTTACTTTCACAGCACATATACATGTTATTAATGGTGTTAACTAATTTATAATTACATTTTTGTTCTAAAATTTTAAAATGTCTGCTAATGGGAATGCTGTCATATGCCTTTTGGAGGTCAACAACCAATAAATAAGAATCTCTTCCCCAGGCTTTCCTTTTTTCTAAAATTTGTTGGATGCAGAAAATATCTACACATAAACGGCCGGACGTAAAACCGCTTTGTTCTACGAGGTTTTCTTGTTTCCCTGATTCAATTTTTCCTTTAATTATTCGCCCTACAGTCTACTAAGTGAGCTTGTGACACTAATGCCTCTATAGTTTTCACATTTTTCTTTATTGATTTTTTCATAAATTTGTATAATTTATGCTTCATTCCATTCTTGAGGGATTTCTTCTTGATCAATGAGGCATTTATTAAATAATTTTACAATAATTTCTTTCATTCGATCCGATGAGTGTTTTAACAGTTCAACTGGTATCCCTTCTGGGCCTGGGGATCTATTATTTTTCACCCCCTCAGAGCGCGAGATTTTTCATCCTATCACTCCGCTTTACGGCGGATGATAATTGCCGTTATAATAAAAAAATCCAATAAATGATGTCAAAATATTATTTTCAATTTCATAATACGTCACAATTGCCATATAACAATTCTCCACCACCGCCTCTTAGATTATATTAAAAAAAGCTTCAAGAGATATTAAATTCATATTCTTTTCTCAGTCTCCAATCATTCTCTTTGATGGAGACTAGAAAAATATAAATTGGGAAGAAACGCTTCAATTCTTTCATAGCTATTTAAAAGAATTAATATAAAATCTTTTTAAAAATTAAGTAAAGTAGTCCGTACTCATGACGAATATGTGCCCCGTAATTGATTACAACTGCTACTATAAAAATTTGCATAGTCTTTAATTTTTTTCTATAAATTTCTTTTTCAGAAGTTCAAATCAAAACACTATATATTTATAAAACAAATTCTTTTTGCAATCCAAAGTGATAATAATTAAATTAATATGAATCTAAAGAAATATCATTATTTCACCTACAGTATCTCTATTTACTTGTGTTATTACACACTTTATTTAGCACAAAATTGTAATTAAATACATATAAATAATACAAAATGTAGCTAAAACATTTTCACCAAAGTTAAAACCTGTAATTACCGTCTTTTGGTTCGCTGCAAAACGTATTCTCAAGAATAGAAATGTATCCTTCTGCCACAGAGGAGCTGGTCTTACACAACGTTATTAGAGGGAAATATAAAGGCGGACTTCACTCCCAATCCTACAATTACGAAGCATCTTGTTACGCCCACCACCTCACAAAGCCCTCTTCAAGAAAACACCTGCAAGCTCTCAATAACACTTTGTTCCTCAAAACTAATTACGTATTCTTTCTGTTCCAACTATAGGCAATACAGTGCAGCAAAAAAATATAGTATGTTTATTTCGTTGTGTGTAGCTACCTCAGCAGTAATATTCACTTCATCTAGTGTCATTTGACAAAGAGGCATAAAATTTAAACCAGTTTCCCTGTGTTTTTATCCTTTATTCACCAAAATATTTTGAGAAATATGAGAGGCGACAAAAATGTGAAGCAATTTTCATAATGCACCATGGTAATATAAACATTCTGTGTTCTAATTACACTTGCACATAAACTGCAACACTGCACTAACAAATATGAGAGCTCATTCTGTCAATGTTAAGTGTAGTTAGCACTAAACTTCTTACATATCCTCAGTATACAATAGGCTACGATGCAAAATTATGTACAATGATGTGAATAAGGAATGAGATTAACAGAAGGTATTTCAAGCACTTTTTCCCATATCCATTCGTTTACGATATGTTGAACTAAAATGTTAGTTTGAAATCAATTTTTTTATCGCTGATAATATACTTGGGGTATGAAAGATAATCCCAAATTAAATATTTAGAGAGAATTTCAAATTTACCTCACAGATAAACTAGTTATTCATTGACAGCACATTACCAACAATGAACTTTTTTCAATAATAACAAATTTAATTTGAATATGGAAATTAAAATAGTTATTCGGGTAGATAATGTGACGCAATAAACGGCTATAGAGTTGTTACAACTAAATTTTACTGAAATAAATTGATATAAAATTGGTTTCAATTTTAATAATACATTTATTGGCACAAATTAATTAAAAATCATATAAACATAATACTGATTTAACAAAATGGCCCGTTATCCAGATGGCTTAACAAAACAACCAATTTCATTAAATTTTCCATCCATCTCACGCGAAAATAGTTCGAAGAGTTTGTAAGATTTCGTACACATCTGCTTATAGTCTTTCACATAGAAAACCTCATTACATACTCGTTACAAATTCTTCTATACACATTGCACGTAACACAATTCAATGTGTTAATTTTACACCGAACGCCGCAGTAACATCGCTTCACCTAATCCTTTTCTTAGAGGATCCCCTATTAGTCCATGACCTAAAACTTTAAAGTCTGTCCTTTAATCTGTGACCTTGAAGGTCTGTCCTTTAATCTCCGGGATCGAGACAAAACTGGGTCCGTCGTCAAAGGCACTTTGAGTCCCTCTTGTTGTTTAAATTAAAAATCATTCATAGTTTTCACATTGCAATGTCATCAACACCCTCATCTTGATTATCACATAGTACTGGTTATTCCAAGTCGTCCTACAATATATTTTAATACATTCATTTCTGATACCTTATACGAGGCACAAAAGTATTACCATCGAACAACCAAAATAATCTTCATACATTAGAGAATTAATTCTCAAATTCGAAGATTTGTAGTGTTTTAAGCTCCTAAAGGGCGAACCTACTTCAATGTTTTGAGTCAACTACGTCATTTCTTTCTACTATTAATCATCTTTCTTTTTATAATTTAAAACCATTTATTGGAATTTTTTAGTCAAATCATTCTAGAATATTTAGCAACAGTTCTAGAAAAAAACCTAATTTGGGGACATTTTAATGTATGTACAATGGTAAATCGCTGTGAACTATTATACTACTTTACCTGCATAACATTAAAATACATTGACGATAGTTAAAAGTGTTTGCAATGAAACAAAAATCTCATAGAAATAATCGTGCTCGAGGTCGTACGAACGAAGCAACTAAAGTATGTATAAAATTTATTTTATTATGAACTTGCACAAACAAATATGATTTACGCAAAAATATCAACCGGAAGCGCCATGCAAAGATAGTAACAGGAAGAGTGTCTTGTAAAAAGGTTTTCATCTGATGGACGTGTAATCGAGTAGATGAACGCGTCAGACCACAATATCCTGGGATATGTCAGTTGATGGACCAGTTGAAAACTTATCAGTAAATGTGAAGAAATTCTGAACGAAGAAAAGGTTGAACTTTTAATCAGTAAAAAAATAACTCTTTTTTAATATAGATATCCTAGTAATTATAATGGAAAATAAATCTATGCCATATTATTAAGCGAATTTTCTTCTAAATGACAAAGTGTTTTCCAAAGTAAAACCCTTCACATACAAACTCCGTGTGCTTGCAATGGGTTCTTGGTTTTGGTTGTTGAATTATGTAGAATTCCTCATTTCGTCACCACGTTCACTCGTGCACTACGGTATAAAATTAGATGCGGATAACATCCAGTTTGTAATGCAGTGCGTATCGTAACCTAACCACTTCCCTAACCTGTTTCCGCTCTGATTAATAACCATCTTTTAGATACACTCAGCATTACGACTCCCATGAAAATGTCAGTTTTGTTCAAAGCAAAACCAAGTGACGCAAAGTCTTAATCGTCACTTTGAGAGGTATGACACATAAAATATTATTTAGGTTATGATAAAACCTAACATAGTACGATTATGGGGTTTGTAATAGGCATATAAAACAATGGTTATACGACTATATAAAGGGCCACAAACAATAAATAATGTTAATATCTCTCGCAAGTGTCTCGCTATCAAATTGCATCAAGTGCGACAATATGTCTTCAATTGGTTAGTTGCAGTGCTTCTGACCCTGAGGTCTTGTGGTTTGAGTTCCAACGGTAGCAGGATTTTTAGACACTAGCTACACAGATAGGTCGATTTAAGCCGCCGTCTGAAGGAGGATTCTAACGGCCGGCTGCTCTGATCGGTAATTTCCCGTGTTTTTTCCGATCAACACCAGGCGAATGCCGGAACAGTACCCCAACAAACGGGTCACGTACCGCGCGCGATCTTTCCTTCCTCTTCCTTCTCCTATCCTCTCCCATTACTGACACACACACTACCACGCATGCCGATAGACCAATCGGGAGCTTAGAGCTTGTCCCGGCTGGGGCGGTGCCCCTCTGGTGGGGGATACCAAGTTAGGGAGAAAACCGAAAGCTGACCGGTATGTCGGTGCCGGATTTCGCCATCCAGCGGAGGCAGATCACTGCAATCTCTCGCAATAAAACCATACACGACGCATACGGAACTAAGTTAACGGGCCCCGGAATCACGAATCATTCATGAGTACAATTGCGTATAATTGTAAAAGTGTAAAAGTATAAAATTAAATAAATACAAGTGCGTACAATTTTATAATATCGCGTGACGTGCCGGTAGAGCGCCAAAGGCGGTAGTTCCGCAGCTCAGTTAGATTCGCTATTAGCGCTTTTTAATCCCGAAAAGAAAGAGGCCAAAATAATGGTGATGCGGGTCGCGTGATAAGAGATGGAATGCAAGGCAGGAGAAACAGGATAACACCCCCCCCCCAGGAAATCTGCCGCGAAATAGTCATCTCCGTCACAGATTCTGCAAAAAGTTTCCAGCTTTCAAACCTTGTTACCCACAGGTGGAAGCTGAGCGGTGTGGCCACTACATCACAGACGTACCACGAGGCTTACGAAACTTCTTTTTCTCTGCTGTTTATTCACAATTTGTTTTTTACGTGTACTATAATAATAATATTCATTTTTTCTACTAATGAGCTTTCGCTCGGTGGCAGAGTTTTACAGCACATATACAGAGATATTAATGTTACATATATGGGAATGCATATAATATGAAAAGTACAACTAAGTAAAAACTAACAAAGTAAAACTAAGGAGAATGTCTAAGAAGACCTAACATACAGTTATTTGGCATCACATGCAATTCTCTAGGCGCTTCCGAAAGCAACGCACACTGGAGGGAAAAGTCGCCAGTACTGCAGCAGGTAAACTGTTCCAATCAGTTATTGTCCGGTTGGCAAAAGAGTATTTACCTACGTCGGTTTTTTTATTCCTATGGTTTTTTGATTTCTATATATTCCTACATCCTTCCTACTACATTCGGTGAATGATGTAATAAATAAAATGAACATGAGTGAAGAGTTGTCCTGTGACAACACTTCATAGGAAAAAAACTTAGTTGTTTTTTATGCAATGATTACAAAATTGTAGTGATGGTAGCAATCTTACATAGCCTGTCATCTTTGCTTCAAGCTTGTACATGATTAAAGCTATTTTGAAACTATGGCTGAGATCTAGGGGATTGTGTCGTTTTATTCTTCTGATTCCTTGCTGTTGTCTGGGATGTTCACTGAAAAAAAATCAGAATGGTTTTCGAGTATTTTTTCATAACTCCTGCTGCATTCTGTGATGGTCTTATGTATGGTTAGAATCTGCAAATCATTGTGTAAAGTATTAATAGGCACATATCATGACGCATTAGTTTTGGTTAGTAGAACGTTTGATTGAGATTTTTGAAGAATTTCAAAATTTGAATGGCTAGTAAGAATCGTCGCCTCCTGTGAACTGGTGCCACGAGAGCGTCGCCCGCCTGGCGCGACCAGCTGAGGCAATCTGCAAAGTACCACATCCGCAGAAGGTCCTACCCCTCTCTTTCGCCCGCCGCAAGCAGCGGTTTAGGGGGAGGTGAAACATAAACTGACCTTTACAGATATTGAACGCGAGGAAGGAAACGTCCTCTACATGGTTCTTTTGCGATAAATCACTATCTTTGTTAGGACTTAAGTGTCAACTAGAAGAACACATACGTTATAACGAAGTGAGATCTTGAAGATTCCATACTTTATATTCCAATCTGCAACGTAAAACCAATATAATTATTTCTTCGTTGAGTGTATTTTGTTTTATTGTCTTAAAGAAATGTCGAGAGTAACGAGTTCTGAAGCAATGATAAAGTTGCATCAGTAGCAGACTAATGAGATCCCTACCTCTTTGATCGCGTCTTCTTTGTTTCGTTTTATAACGTTTCGAGAGGAAAAACTCAATTTGACGTTGAAAATTGTGAACCGGTGCTCCATCTTGGTATATTGAGGAATCCCCTTCTCTTTTCATTTTTCAGCATCACTCCTCTCTGTTATGTCAATTTCTCTACCCTCTTACTTCATTTTGCATCCACTTCTCTTCCCTCTTCATCTCCTTTCTTTCTCCAAGTTCCGCCTCGTGCTCTTATCCTCTACCCACTGGAATGGTGAGGTTAGTGAGATAAGTAGATTAGTCAGCGAATCCCCACGCCGCCGCAAGAGAAAACAAAAGGCGACTGTTGCGCCTCGCCTCAGTCCTCGCGAAGCATCCCTTGGGCTCAACTGTTTCAGCGCCGCACTGCAGTTGGCAGCTGCTGCCGCCTCTGAACACGGCATGATCGTAAGGTACTGATGCTTTCAAATCTCGAATCGATTTCATCAGCCACTACGTTTTTGACAGTTGTAAAGTTCCAGTCTAAAATTATTTTCATAAATAAAATCATGCGTGCGTGGAAAATTATCGATAAATTAATGAGTCGCGAAGCGATGAATGGATTTAATAATAATTTTCTATGCAAGAGTGGCATTTAGTGTGATTATTTCGCGAATAAATGCATCAACAACCTCAAAAGTATTAAAACAACAAATAACATGAAAAAAGATAGATTGTGTGCGATTCAGATACCAATTAGCAGTTTATGCAACTAGTTTATAATGTTCAGCTTTATTGCATGAGCACATGTTTTGAAAGCGAGCTATATTAGGAGCAACGTTTCGAATTTGTACAATTGCAATAAAGAATCATAACGAGTTGCATACGCTTTTTTTGTATAACAGCATTATAAATTTATAAGATAATCAAAAGGAGTTTTGTGAAACAAGTTTCTTCGGACTTTTCATTTATTTGACACCTTTGAAAGAAAACCCTGGTCGGCTGGTCCATTTACCTCTACTTCCCCACAATTGTCTCGCTGCGATTGACTGAATGTGAGATGACGCAGTCATTCGTGCCGTAAATAGTAGTTTATGCAATTAGTTTATAATGTTAAGCTTTATCGCATGAGTACATGTTTTGAAAACGAGCGACTTTAGGAGCGAGTTTTCAAATTTGTACGAATGTACGAGTACGAGTTGAATACTATATTTTCTTGTATAACAGCATTATACATTTATAAGAGAATCAAACTTAATTTTGGGAAACAATTCCCCTGTGACGACTCGGGTATTTGACATCGTGCGAGTAAACGGTGGTCGGCTGTTCTGTTTAGCTCTACCTCCCCCGATTCTCTCGCTACGATTGGCTGAATGTGTGATGACGCAATCATTCGTGACATAAAACCTAATACGTCATCAATGTGCTGTAAAATGCCCGATTACGAACGATTTCTTTCAACAGAAAAGATCGTTTATACTGCTAGTATACAAAAAATATTTACGCGATTTTATTTCACAGCTTCCTGGAACGATTTCGTGTAAGGCAACAGACAATATACGTACATTAAATAAATTATTCAATGTTTTATGTTTCTCATTACTTACAAACATCTAGTTGCTAAATAGAAGAACACATTAGAAGCATATTAAACCAATTAAACAACTATTATTAAAATTGTAGAAATATAAATTATAATTATTTCATTGTCTTTAAATAATAAATAAATAAAGTGAATGAGAAAGTACGTAATCACATGAGTGGCTGAGTGAGTGAGAAAATATGTGAGTGATGAGTGATAAGTGAGGCAATGAATGAGTGAGTGTGAATGAATGAGTAAATGAGTAGTGAGGGGGGAGGGAGAAAGTGAGCGAATGAATGAGGGAGAGAGAAAGGTGACGAATGAGAGGGAGAAAGTGACGTGAAGAGGAGAGTAAGTGAGGTGTGAGGAGAAGTGAGCAGGAGAAATGAGGCGGAGCGGGAGAAAGTGACGTGAATGAATGAGAAAGTGAGTAAGTGAGGAGGGAGGGAGAAAGTGAGTGATATGAACGAGGAGAAAGTGAGAAAAAATGAAATGAGGGAAGGTTAGTGGAATGAATGAGGGAGAAGTGAGTGAAATGGGGCAGTGATGAGGAGAGAATATGTGAGGGAATAAGAGGGAATAAGAGACGTGAATGAGATAGTGAGAGAGTGAGTTAATGAATGAATGAATGAATGACGAAGGGTAGTGCGTGAATGAATGAATGAGAGGGTGAGTGAAAGAGAGAGTGAATGAAGAAGGTATGTCAAGTGACATGAATGCGGGAGTAAGAGAGTGAATGCTGGGAGTTAAGTAGATGAATGCGGGCAGTAAGAGAGTGAATGCGGGAGTAGAGAGGATGCGGGAGTAGAGAGTGAATGCGGGAGTAAGAGAGTGAATGCGGGAGTGGAAGAGAGTGAATGCGGGAGTAAATGAACCGAAGTGGGAATGCGGGAGTAAGAGAGTGAATGGGGAGATAAGAGAGTGAATGGGGAGTAAGAGAGTGAATGGGGAGTAAGAGAGTGAAGTGGGGTAAGAGAGTGAAAGGGGAGTTAAGAGAGTGAATTGGGGAGTAAGTAGAGTGAAGGGGAGTAAGAGAGTGAATGGGGAAGTAAGAGAGTAATGGGTAAAGAGGGATGGGAGTAAGAGAGTGAGTGGGGAGTGAGAGAGTGATCATGGGTCAGTGAGAGCATGAGTCAGTAAGTGAATTAGTCAATGAATGAAGGCGTAAGTTAAGGAGAGAGAGTGAGTGAGTGTGTGTGTTCGAGAAAGTGAATGAATGATGAGCGAGTAAGTGAACAAATGAGTAAGTTAGTGAATGAATGAATGAATGAGTGGGTTAGTGAGTGAAGAAGCGTGGAAGGGAGTGAGTACATACGTTAGGGGGGGACGTAACCGGTCTTGTGCGTGCGCAGAGGCGCGCTGGTGCTCGCGCTGACGCTGGCGCTGGCGCTGGCGCTGGCGCTGGCGCTGGCGGGGGCAGGGGCGGAGTCGTGCGCGGAGGGCCCGTCGCCGCCCGGGGCCGAGGGGCGGCGCCCGCGGCGCGCCCGCAGCCCGGACCGGCGCCGGGGCAGGTTCATGAGCTGGGACGGCGAGGACGGCGACGGCGTGCCCGCGCCCATGCCCTCGCCCTGCGAGCTGCCGCCACCCTGCCCTCCGCTCGGCTTCGCGCCCTTCCCGCCCACCGTCGGCTTCTACCGGCCCCACGCCGCCCCCGCGCGCTGGCAGTTCGCCCGGCAGCTCTGCCTCAAGGACGACGCGCACTTGGCGCTGCCCAGCTCGCAGGTCAGGCAGACACTTCCATACACATCATTACAAGTTTATTTGGAATGGGACTTCGGGCAATGGCTCCTGTCCCGTGTTTGTTTGTTTTCAGTCGCGTCGACAAATCTGCTCATTAGTGTCTAGACAAATTTGCAATTATTAATTACAAGAAGAGAGTTGCAGCTTTTCTTTAACGTCGTAACTGTTTCTGTAACGAAGAAAAGTTTGGGCAGTCGGAGTTTTTAGTTACAGTATAGGGAAAATGTCGTGTACCGTAATGTACTCAGCAAATTCGAACAATCGACCCAAAATGTCAAATGCATACCTTAATAACAATTAATTTTTTTAGTTTTACAATACATTATATTTCAATATTTAATCAAATTAACGGATGACACCCTTTATCTACCGGTTGATACACTTTACATACCGGGTGATTTTCTTTTCAAAGGGTGATACCCGTATTGTACGTACATACATACAATATCTACAATGCATTATGGTGCCATAAATACGAAAACATATTTTACAAGATTCTACGATATGTGCCTCACACAATACTACGTACACAATATTCCGACAAAAATATCATCACAAATATGTAATCTCTATATATTTTCAAAATAGTTTAGTAAGAATCGGCTAAGAATTGTGTCAATTGATTTGTCTTGTCGAGATGAAACGTATGAGCTATTTATCATGTCTGTAGGTGCAGTAAATCACACAGAACGCGTTTTAGTTGCCTGAAAACGCAAAAACACTTTTCAAAAGATGATCTTAGAATCCTCTGGATGGATCCGCTGAAAAGATCAATTTCCGACCAGGAGACTAAAACGCGTCGAGTGACACTTCATTCGTCTCGAGAGGTCTAACCATCAGTGACGGACGGACGATACTATTAGGAGCACAGTTGATGCTTCGCTATGCGTATCCGAGTTGGTGAAGACGTTCCGGCAGTCAGCCTAAGAGATTAACTTCAAACAATCATAAGTCAGGGTAACGCAGACTTTCTTTAACATTTTATGTTCAAATACTTTTGTTGCCAAACAGTTAGAATGAAAGAGAAATCAAATTCACCGAACTTACTGCATAAACTACTTACAGTGGAATTATTGGGGAATCTTTTATTGAGCACTTACCCCTAAAATACCTCGAAAATAATCTTTGAAGTCTCTTGCGTATCAGAAATCTCCCCAAATTCTTCGCACTGGATCTAATATCCATTGCATGGTTATGTTCTCACACTTTATTTCTTTGCGCACAATATAATTATTTTAGGACATTTTACAATTGTCTCCTCACTGAAACAAAAATCGCACAAACTCGCGAAATTAAAACATCTCATCCTCATTCCCCCAGAGTGTAAGCCCGAAGTCCTAGCATTCATATCCAAACTATAAGACAGAAATGCTCTCATTCCCGCAAATTCCGTATTTTGTTTTTTGTTTAGATTCAGATACCGCGGCCGATAGAAGTTGATTCGAGAACGAAGGCAGGTTAGTCGAGAGGCGTTAGACGCCACTGGTTATTTTAAATTATTAAATCAGTTGGTTTTCATAACTGCGAGTTGTGGTAAAAATACGGTGAACTGCAACGCAGTGCACCGTATTTTCTCAAATTCACCACTCTCCGTTATAAGCCTCTCTTTTGGATAAAAATTTTGGAAAATTTCGGTAAGTCCTTTCTATGTTATTCGTTGGAATAATGTAGATTAAAAACTGTACATTTCCAGCAATTTTCATTGTCAGCAGGTTCTAAGCAAATATCAGATGGGATGTCGGAAATAAAAGTATCTAGCCATTTGTAATGTAGTTTGAAAAATTAAAGACAGTTTTTGAAAAATATTTCTCTTCATTTCGAGATACTCGCATATGTTGAGACTCCATTTCTATTGCCAATTTTTGAAAGAAAAAAGGAGGAGCTTGTATTTGGAGAAAATTCGGTAATATGGTTCAGAAGATAAAGTGAGTGGAACGAATCTTAGATATTCTTTTGAATATATTTCACAGATTCCAACAGTAAACCTTCACAATTGCAGGCCTGGATATTGCAGGCCACAATTGCAGGTCGCTGTAAGGCCTCGGCTCGAAGGAACGCGAGCACGGATGTTTGTGTGTGCTGGTGTTGTCCTTACATGTCGTGTTTCCCCTACGTTACCCCCAAAATAAACCATCAAAGTTGTCGCTACATCGCCTAGTAGTTAAAAAGCGACCTTAAAAAAATCTTCAAAATATTCATCTGCTCCTGATGGCACCATGTGTTTTGATCAATTATAAAAAAGCTAATGAAAATGATATTGTTTTGCAGATTGAAGTCAAAGTACTGATAGAGTTGATGAAAATGAATAATATGACAAGTATTTACGTTGGATTCTACAAGACCAAGAAAGGCGAATACTTCAGTGTCCTAGGTAAGATGAGCTTATTAAATATACTAAGATATTTTTAAACGATTTGAACGCAAAATGAAGAACGCAGGACCCTATGGCTCATACACGCATACACAAATGTATAATTCTCAAAACGTACAAGGTAAATTTGGTAATTTAAAACTAATATTCCCAACAGAAGGTATATTTTCCGGGCTGGTAGGCCGTGGTCCAGTTGGCATTGTTGGGCCAAACGTTTCGTCCACGTCTGCGGAGGACATCTTCAGTGGCGGCAGGGTCGCGGCGCAAGTGTTCGGGGCGGCGGCAGGCTGGCGCGACTGGACAAAACGCGCTCCGAGCGGCCGCGGCTTTAGTCCAGTCGCCAGCGCAGCCGCCGCCCCGAACACTGCGGCCGCGACCCTGCGCCACTGAAGATGTCCTCCGCAGACGTGGACGAAACGTTTGGCCAACAATGCCAACTGGACCACGGCCTACCAGCCCGGAAAATCTACCTTCTATTAACTCCGGCCGTGAAAGCCTACGATACTATATAATATTCCCAACGTTATTTTAAAAAATCCCAATTCATTCCTAATCTCAGGGCCTATGCTCGTAACTTTTTTCTCGATACAATCCTCTGCTGTGAAGACAGCGACCCGCCGTCGTCCCCTGGAGGCAATGGCGCTCCCCTGCCCACACGAAGGCGATCTGCCATCAGGTTCTTAAGTTCTCCGGTTTGAAACCTGCCCCGAGTAATTAGCTTTTGTTCGTTTGTTTGTTCTTGAACCCCTTTGTCATTGTAGAAAACAATACACCGTATTCGGGTATTTGCTATATTACCGGGTCGACTCTGACGGCGCGAAATCGGTAAACAAAAGCAAAACGGGTGGCAGAAGCCATAGCATTCTGTTAACGTAGCCCACCTAAACTGCGCTTCAAACAAAAAAATAGATCTTTACTAAAAAGATGTTTATTTCATTCATTACTCTTATTTATTCATTTATCTGTTGTGTAGAGCAATAATGTGAAATTAATGAACAAGTCTCTAAGTTAACAATTTTTGCTTAGGATTGAAAATCTCTTAACACATTGTAAAAACTCCTAAGCTATTGAATTAAGTAAACGCGATTACAAAAACAAATATTTCGATTCAAAATGTTTAATTTTATTCGCATTTGACGATTTTAAATCCGACTAAAGTATTTTTATATTTTAAAGGACCATTCCTTTGCTTTAGTAGAGGAAATGTATATTAATATAGCTACATTTGGGGAAGTAACTGTCAAACGAGTTTTCCAAAGAACTGTTATGGACCAGTTATCCAGTGACGTTCCGGTACTTCGAATGATTTGAACAACCCTTACTTTTAAATTTCGCGCGAATTTCTCTAGAAGAATTGTCTGTAAACTCTAGTAAGCCACTTACCTTGCTCGCAACCTTGACTTGCCTGGCGTAGACAGTTGCGCCGCCCGACAGGCCTGGCGATCGCCACGTGCAAGCAATAGCACTCCACATGGCGCACACAACTTCACTGGTGATTGTTGTTGCAGATTTGCCCCCAGTTATTTCATAACGTACGGCATCCCTTAGCCACTCAAATTCAAAATTGAAGAAAAAACAAACGCAAGTTTAAGAAACTAAAAGCATGAAATTTTGTCTAAAAGCTTGTGAGGTCGTTCTGATGAACTACGTCAAATAAACATCGGGAGGTCACCATGAAGAACACGAGGTCATATTTGGACTTCGTTAACCACCATAGTGCTGGTGGAGGTAAATTTGAATGGAAATTGAATTAAAATTAAGCGCAAGTTTGTGCTGCAACGCCATTTAGTAGAGTTACAACTAATTTAACTCCACAAAAATATTCTGCGTGAAAAAACACGTAATGTGTCATCTTTCATAGAGAAGGGGCACACAGTTCTAACGCGTTCTTATCGGGGTGCATCGATCAGCATATTATTTAAATTATTTATTTTCTTCTTTTGTGTTGTATTAATCTTTAACAAACTTTGCAAGGACATTGCCTCCAATCCTGAAGAAGAGCCTGTAATTATTTAGTACCTACTCAAACACTACTTTTTGTGGAATCGATATCGACTACATGTCGTTGAATTGACTTTTAGTAGTGTAGATAGTTGTTAAGTAAAATGTGTTACGTAAAATATCAAAGAATAAGTTAACAAAGTCAGTTTATGGTATTTTATCGATATTTGCATAAACATTTCGAGAGATGCTATTCCTCCTAACCAGCTCTTGCACTAATATTACCTCCATTAAATTCACTTCGTATCTCAATTTCTGCGAATGTGCTTTCAATAACTTACCCATGTTTTGTCCTTAACGTCTTACTGAATATTTGGAGACCTTCATGCACTGTCAAAGGCTGTGACTGAGACTCCTCCCGCGTGCTCTCAGGCAAGAAGATGAGCGAGAAGGAAGCGGCGCTATGGAACGTCGCGCGCCACTCTCCAGAGGACAGCGCGGAGTGCGTCTGCCTGGACGCCCAAGGGCTCGCGCCCAGCCCTTGCGACGCTCTCCTGCCCTTCGTCTGCGAGTTGTGAGCGCCGTCTTCAAAGGGATTCGTTCCGATTCAACACATTCGATTCCGGAATCGATTCTTTTCGTTCGATTCCTAGGGAATCGGTATTCGATTCCTTTGCTTCCGTTTCTTGCTGGAATCGACTCCAAAATGCTGGAATCGATTCCAAAATGCCGGAATCGAATTAAATGGTTACCTTCGATTTATACCACTACTTATGATAAGTAGAGAAGATTTATTCTACCAACTAATTTTGCCATATTATTACAATGCATATTTAGAAAAAATAATTCACTCAAATTGGTGGTTGACAGACATAATGAATACATTGTACTTATAAGATTTTAAGAAATACATTTTGATGACAAAAATCTTTGAGTATGCTTGGGCTTTATTTAGAGTATTGAAAGTGAAATTTCCATTTTGTGGGAGTGCTTATTGAACAATAAATTTTCAAAATCTGTTATCACGATAATTTAAATACAAACACTTGGGCTTTCGTCATCCTTGTATCCCTGTATAGACAAAAATGCAGGCAAGAACGCGTATTTCAAAATCGTAACCGTGTGTATCCTACAACCACAACTTGAATCTTGCCATTGGTCAGAATCTTAGAGCTGTTCCTATTAGTTGGCATGGTAAACACTGTGCAAGGTGTCACAAGTAAAACGAGTCGTTGGAGTTGGAAGACTCGAATTAGTCGAGTACACTCTGCGGCACACGTGTTTTTTTCATTCTCTATGTTCACTATTCTCTACGATATAAGACATATTTTTTACATTGTGCTATTCACCCAGCCAACATTCACCTCAATGTGTAATGTTATTCGAGAAATTAATTTGCTTGAAAATTAAAGAGAGCATCGTAGTGATAAATATTACTAATTAATCAAAGAATAAGTCAATGTTGTTTATTGTAGTGTTAATCAGAAATAGATATAGAAATAGAACAACCTAGGGTACGGATTAGTAAAATAAACTACTATTAAATGGTTTATCTTTTGATATTTAGAGGAAAAAGTTAAAAGACTGTCTAGGCAACTTATTCCAGTTCGTAATAGTACTGTAAGTAGAGAAAGAATTCTAACATTTGTTCTCTGAGCCATCAACTGTATTTAATTTATTTCCTTTCTATTTGTCTTGAAAGTAAAATGAGACGCCCTTTTCTGTATTCTATTCATACTTTCCCGTTGTAAATCTCTTTAAAGATCTCAGCAAATCGTTCCGTATTTCATTAAGATAATCATTTAATGCTTCTGACGTAACTGAACATTATTCGTACATTCTCTTCACAAATAATTAAATGAAAAGTATTCTGCAGACGAAAGAGGAAATCGTGGCAAAATGTCACTCAAAGCATTGTGCTTCATTCAGTTCGCACGGTCGTCGTGGCGTCTTCTAGTGAGCACATTTCTAACTACTTAGAATGCCCCCAAAATTCTCACCAATGGGAAAGCTTAATTTGGGGCCCCAGGATAAACATGGTTACGATATAAAAATAAGAGGCAGGGGCTCCAAAGTGCTCGATTTCGGTTTCGATACTTTCGTTCCTCGTTTGAATCGATACCTTACGGAATCGATTCTGTTCTTTCCATTCGATTCTAGAATCGATTCCAACTTTTCGATTGCGGAGTCCATTTTTTTACAGGACGCGAACGTCACTACGTCTATAAGTACTCAGTTCAATTTATGATACAAGTCCATGTGTGTGCTGCTCTGCCGCTCCGAATGTCGCGCGTTCTGCGCAGCACCAGACACGTCACGAACTACGTGACCATACGGGAGCTACGGGTACTTCGTTCGAAAAGCCAGGCCAGACGTAGCCAGCCGCCAAACAGTATGGTAAGCGATCAGTACCAGTGAGAAAAATTTCGAAAGTGGCTTAATGTGGCAATTTTCGACGGTGATCAATCAAAAACAACACGATAATGGTATAGCTGAAATAAAAGATGCAATATTTTATAAATGTTTCTTATATCGATTTCAATGAACTAATTAATTTGTACCGTTTTTATAACTGCTTAAAATTATTTCTAGGTTTCCTCTTTATATACTTCCTCTTTATTTAATTGGATATAATTAAAAACAAAAGTTAACCCAATCTATAGAATTCCATTACATTTTCGGTTAACTCAATCTTTGCATTTTGAAGGATCGTAGTGGTGGAATATCATCTGATTCTCTTACAACCATAAACCATTTCAAAAGTTGGTTTTAAAATATGTTTTCTAGGCAAAAATTTACATTGCAGAAGCATAGAAACACTCCAAAATCATGTAATTGTTTATTATTTACAAAAGAAATTACTATACTTGTTCAAAAAGAAAAATTAACACAAAAATAAAAAAGCACCCAATTTACACAATTCGACTGCTTTTCTTATTTCTCGCTTAATTTTTCTTTCTGAACAAATATAATTATTTGTTTTGTAAATAATAAGCAATATTCTGTTTTTGGAGTGCTTACATGCTTCTGTATTGCAAATTTTTGCATAAAATACATATTTGTAACCAACTTTTCCTTACCTATTGCCATTCGAAATTTCCACTTAGTTTATTAGACAAGATAAGCTTAAAATTGTCTTAAATGCTCATTTTTGGACTTTTGACGTTTCCTCCCTGGACTCTCTCCCTCTCTCTCTCCCACTCTCTCTCCCTCTCACTCCCTCTCCCTCTCTCACTCCCTCACCCTTACCCTCACCCTCTCTCCCTCTCCCTCTCTCCCTCTCCCCCT